ATTCAGAATTTTTTTTCCGAGCAACGGAAAAGATAAGATAAATTTTGAACACCGTACACGGAATATTAAATAACGAATTGAACAAAGTTTGAGTCATATAGAGTTGATGCACCGCGGGATCAGCTAGTTATTATATAAAAATTCAAATAATTAATTTACTTATAGAAACGATTAGACTTACACGATTTCGAATTTCGTTTACTCACTTCTCCATACTTAACGTGTATAGTTTTCTTCATATTAATGCGTTTTTTTTTACAATATTCGGGAAAAACATCTCGATAATTCGACTGTATAATAGTGAAAAAGAAAAAATTGCCCAACACGGACACAGTAAAATAGTAAAATACCAATCACACTTTACGCACCTAAACCTACCTACTTATATATCTTATTCTTCTTGGGTTTGTCGGCGGTCGAGACCATATCATCCCGTCACACATCCAATTCTCCGGCTTTCCCCATCAGCCGGTCTTGCTTTCAGATCCAGTCCTCCATTCAGTGACTCAAATAGTGTTTTTTCTCACCTATCTGTTATATATCTGTTGGCCGCACAGCAGTCATATTGCATTATATACGTAGGTACTGATATAATATTGTTGACGCACTCCTCACTATGCTGATCGTTTAAAATTAAATTTATAAAAGGTTTAAAATCTTAAACGATAAAATACGTGGATTAACTAAAATTTAAAGTATTACGGGGTTGTCGCATGCCTTAAGAGTACCAACATAGGTGGACGCTTAAGCCCATAGAAATTTTATCGAAACAAAAATGAGCACGAAAATCGACTGACTATATAATCGATCGTCTTCAGTTTACAAGACCCTACCTCTCGGGACACCACGTGACAAAACGCTCTCACACCATATGATAATATTACTATATAATTATATTCTCACGTTCGGACGGTGCCACTGCATAAGTCATATTCGTCGTCGTATTATATAATATATAGTATAGGTATAGACTCGCTTTTGGTATATTATTTGAATATTTTTTTTCTATTTTTTTTTTCGGTCAACCTCGCGCCCGTTTAACATAACAATGGACTCGCGCATTACAATATTATTATTATCTATATAGGTGTGTGTGTGTGTGTTTTTCGAAAGAAATTCCGTGAGCTGCTCCCGTCGGGGGGTCCCGCCGTTTATCCGACGTGCGTGTAAAACACGGCGCGCACACCGTATATAATAATATACCAGCTATATATACCGCGTTTACGTTATAATAATAATATTATATACATTATAATATTATTGTCGTTCGTTGTTCTCTGAACACACACACACACACACGAAGAGATGTTATTGTACGGAGACTTCACTTCATATACACGGGAGTCGAGGAGGATGTCAATCGGACGGACGTTAATGCTGCATTATATAGTAACGGCGGCGGCGGCAGAGTTCCCAGTGGGAAACGATTATGAGCGGTGGCTATATATTTATAATATTACTATTATTATTATATACATATTTGTATTATATTTCATGTACATAATATATAGGTACCTGTATATGTGTGTGCGCTTATGTAGATGGAGTCTCCATCGTTGCAGTCTCCGCGTCACCCCCAGCGGGGAATTTCGTTTCATAATATATTTTAATTCGTATGTTATTTAAGTAATATAAATTTTCGTATGATAATAATATATGTAAATTATGACATTTGTCATTTTTTGTTTTTAAAAATTTTTTTTACGCTCAGTCGCACAAGTTTGATCGTTTCTTTAATGAATCAGATTATAGCTCAATTTGTTTGCTCGTTATATATTATATAGGTACACTATAGTCTATAATTCGTCTTTGTCAGAACTTACTTACCTACTTAATGTATTTAAGTCGTAAAGAAGTAAAATAGTAATAATTGCAATATTGATTAATGTTATGATAAAAATGTTGTAATATAAAAATGTTCAGTTGCACCCTATAGTATATGGATAATCATTAATACAGCAATATGACATTTATTTAGTGAGCTTTGGCTTCTCTGCAATTCTTTTGGTGTACGCCTCACGGGTTAAACCCCTTTAACTTTTTTAACGTCCCTGTGCAGAATGCAAAACAAATATTACTTATAACTTCTGCAGCAGCAATGTCGAGGATAACGGGATAAATAAAATTGGTAGGAACAGACCGTTTGTACTTTGCTGGCAGCTTATTTTATGTCACAATTTTTCAACGTGTCATTACGATTCGCGTTTATCGAGTTGACGATGCGACAGTGGTGGTTTTAGCGGATTGGATGATGAGGGGGAAGAGGTGAACGCACCCCTCCCCCTTGGGACTTGGTTAATTCCTTTTGATATGTAAATGTTAAAAAATAATAATTTATGACAGTTATATTAACAGAATAAAATATATCATAAAAGTTTAAATACATAAAACAAGAATAAAACATACCTATATTATATGCTGCACCTCGTGAACTAGTTGATAAAATATTTTTTTCGTTTTGTATTCACCCCCTCCCGCATGAAGTATTGTCAAAAATGCTACTGCGTGATTATATATACTTTTGGTCGAGCGAGCCACCATAATATATTATTACGTATTAAATCCGTTTACAAGTTGGTGATTCGAGCCTATACAACGCATTATTCACCTCGAGTACAATGGCAAAAGCAATTAATAGACACGGTCGTCGTAATATATAACGACACCCCCTCCCCCCCTCAGTCGATGTGGTATCGTCCGCTAAAGGAAATGAGAAAAACCGTTCGCGGCAACCCTTCCCGCGACACTGCTGCATCGCGTGTAATATCAAACTGTTTTCCGCCGAAAAGGGTTTTTTGGGGCGACGACCGTTTAAAAATTAAAGGGCGAACATGTGTTGCGCCAAAAACAATGTGTAATTATCGGTCCGAATAATAACGACTCGGGTACTTTATCGTATTGTTATGCCGTTATATTGTATCGACGTCGGCAAATTCTTCTTCCGGCACCTCCTCTTACGGCCACCAATATCGGTGTACGCGTGCACATGTCACGCGATGTTTTACAATTTTATAACGTACTCTCTCGTAGAATAATAATAATTGTAAATATATCGATTAACTCGGCCGCCTATAGATTTCATTTTATTAATTTTCACCCACCCAGAAATCCCATTATTTATAGTATGCGTCGGTCGAGTACAATTTATTATTATCTCTGGTTATACATAATATAGTTTATACCATGGCTCTCGGAAACGGATGCACAAATTTTTTTCTCACACAAAACGGTTATGACGTCGTTTTAGCGGTCGTGTCGGCCTCCATGTTGTGGAACGTCTGTCGTGTTCCATACTATAGATATTATATATTATAATATCGTCGTGTTTCCGAAACACCAAATTAACCCTCGCATTTTATCGTCGACTATCGAAACCCATCCCATATGAAATATGCAGCACCTACCTAATACCTTATATGATTCTATTGACAAGATCGGGGCCGTTTGTTAACTTTATAGTTTATTCCACAAAGCATAATATATGTTCTTATTTTCTTCAACATTTTCACTTTCGATTTTTTTTTAGTTTTTATTCTAAAAATATCAATAAAATGTTATTTGTTGGTTTCGAAAGTTTGAAAATTTAATAGAAGGCTCCTAGTATACTGTTTCAAAGGCAGGTGAAAAATATTAAAAATCCTTAGTCACAATTTTTTTTTATAAGCATTTAAAGTTCAAAAATTGACAAAATATGGAAAAATCACGAAAATTAGCAAATTACTTTGAGTTAAGAATTCGTAAAAATTTTTCTTTTTAAATCTGAGATTTCAAAATGTAATACAAGATCACTTTTAAGTTTGTCTACCTTTATTCATAAAAAAATCTCTACCGAAAAGTCAAATTAAACTTTTATGAGCGTTTGAAATTCAAATTTTTACAACATTGAATATTCACTCGATTTCTCATGTAGCGATTTCCTTATTTTGTTGTAATTCAAAAACGAATAACTGTAGATACATGAAAATTTCACTGAATGTTCATACTAGCATTTCCTACACACTATACAGTTTTGAAAATATTTTGACTCTTTTTGAGCTGTTTACGGACATTTTCAGTTTTCAATTTTTTTAGTTTTTTTTTCTATAAATATCAATAAAGTTTTATCTGTTGGGCCAAAAAGTGTAAAAATTTAATACAAGGCTCCTGTTATATTTTTACAAAATCAGCGGAAAAATATTAAAAATAAATTGGCACAATTTTTTTTATAAGCATTTAAAGATCAAATGTTGACAAAATTTATCAAATATAAAATTGAATAATTATTTTGTAGTTAAAAATTTATAAAATGTTCGACTTTTATATCCAAGGGTTGAAAATTTAAAACAAGCTTTCATGTAAGTAGTTAATTCTGTTACCAAAAAATCTAAAAAATACACACTCACAGTTTATTTTTATAGTCATTTTAAGTTCAAATTTGGATGAAATTACACAAAAAAAACCTAGAATACCTAACTAGTTATTTCGTTTTGATTGTATAATATTATTCTTGGGTACTTGAAATTTCTAAAGTACACTATTATATATCTATGATGTATAACGCGTTATAAGTACCTAATTGATATTGTGATATGATTAATTTGGAATTTATTATAGGTACCTATAATAGGTCAATTTTTTTAATACCATATATATATAGGTAAGTATATAATATGCCTTATACCTAGACTGACAAAATAACGTCTCCTCTCTGAACCGTTTTTCTTATACAATGATATTATATCATTGAATTCAAATTTAATACTTTTTAATACAGCAGAGCAAATTTTTTATTTTATAATATTCATATTATATAAGTAAATATATATAAATCATATGAAGAAAAAAAAATAATTTGTTGGCCGTATAAAAATATTATATTTCGTTGCCACGAAAATATATCGAGTCGTTCTCGCATAACAATTATTGTTATTTGATAATCCGACTTAACAGTTTAAAGTTATTACATGTTCTTGTAGCTCTCATTGTCAAGTTTGAATTAATATATTATATTATTTATTGAGATGGAAAATGTTCAAGAAATTAACATTGCCTCAACAAGCGAATTGGATTTGTGCATAAGCACAAGTGAAAATATTGCCGACATCATGAACGATATTCATATAACGCCGAACAACTTACCGCTGATTCAAGCCATGGGCGACACAGTGGATTGTGCAAGTTGTTGTCAAAGTGATCAGCAGCTATCGGTTCAAGGACGGAAACCTGGAATACATGATAGAACTGGAGAAAATGTGTTCATCGCTGAGGACATTACCACGATGCAGATAGTTCAAAGAAGAAAAAAGAACTTGGTGAAGCATTCCGGAAAAGTATATCTCTGGAAAGCATTAAACGAAGCCTTGCGTGTGGCGGCCATTAGTAGGTCGATAAACTTTGTATTCGCAGTATATTTACCACGGCCGGTCGTCGTTAGGCTTAGGACCGGCCACATATCTGCAAGAATATTGCCACCACAAATCGAAAACGTAGTCGAAACGAAATCAGTACGAAAGGAGGACTCAACAGATCATGACATCAGCGGGGAGCTGAAAGACGGAGAGTCCGTAAAAAAACGATCAAAAGGAAGGTTCGCATCCTTTAGAAGACGGCTGATTAAGATTGCCAGAACGTTGTGCTGTTGGTGTCCTTCGCCTACAGCAGATTAATTTTGCAAAACTGAAAACTGTCCACCATAAATGGAATTTTTACTACAACGTGGCTTGAAATTTTCTCAAGGTATAGTTTTTAGATATATTACTTGCCCAAGATTTATTTTTAATATTTTGTACCTATTTAATAATTTTTAAAAATAACCCTGTATAATATACCACATTTTTGTTCATTACTTTTTTTTTTTTTTTTACACATATTGTTGTAAGTCTTATAAAATTGTATTGTTATGAATATAAAAAAAGTTAGCTTTTTTTAATTCTACATATAATTATTTTAATTGACTAACTTATTTTTAAATCCATAATAATACGATTTTATATAAACTTACAAAAATATGTGTATAAGCTCAGCTATTTTATAAACAAAAGCTAAGCTAAAGTTATATTATGATATAGAAACTTGTAAGTTGGTACTATCAAAAAAATAATAGATTTTAATTTTTGGTGCAAATTACAATTCCTATTTCTTACTACTTGAGGGTGGTACAAATTATTATACCCTTATTTTGGTGCAAATTATAAGCACTACTTTCGACTACCTGAAATGGTGCAAATTACATATCTTTAATTTGATTCAAATTACAAACTCCCCTAGAATTACTGAATACTGAAATACTGAATTACTAATACTGAATTGTATTAAATTAATCAATTTTTCTTTAAAACAAATCCTTATTCAATATATTAATATCCATAATTTAAAGATAACTCAATTAATTGACTTAAAAAAAGTCATACGGTATTTAATTTAAAGACAACTTATTATATTAATTATTTTTTTCATTACTTCATTATCTGTGAAAAAAAACCCCTGTACTTATTTAATATTTAATATTTTGATCCTATATAATAATAATTTGTTATCATAACCCTGTATACAGTGTGATCACTAATTAGGTACCACTGAATATCTCAGATGGGTTACTTTGTATTGAAATGAGGTTTTCGGGAGGTGATAGGGAGCATTTAAATACATATTTTAAGACCAGTTTAAAATTTTTAGCTCACTCGGTATAGTACGACTTACTTTTTTTTTAAAGGCAACCGCAGTTTTTTAAAGCAGATTCAATTAGAGTATTTTTTTTTAAACATTTATTGTATAAAAAGTCTTTTTCTATTTTCAAAACTGACCACGTTAGAGTAAGTCAAAAGTTACATTCTACATTATTTAGTACCTACCTAAAAATATTAGGGTAGCCAATCATTAGGCAATATCATACTTTAATTGCTTTTGTTAATATTTATTTGTGTGGTATATTAATTATAAAATGGAAAAATGTTTTATAACAAATAATTAATTTTTCAGATTCAAAAGTATTGGTTATTATTTGATGAAAATGGTAGAAAAGGATTTACTAAATACAGTATACGAGATTCACAAAACACATTTATCGACACCAACTTCTGTGGACATGGAATCTACACTCAAGCCCGGATGAAGACCTTCAGATACACAGTTTGGGCCCACCCATCAATAAAAACAATTCTTTAAAATTATAAAATTAGGTACACAATAAAACAAATGTAAACCTTTTTATTTAAATATGATAATAATAATAATATATGATAATAAATGAGAATATAAATATTAAAAACATATTGTTTTTTTTTAATACATATTTACAAATAAAATTAAGTATTGTTTAAGTAAAAGTTTTTTTTCTAGCTTTTTGAGTATATTTCTAATGTTTATATTATGTTTGTATTATGTGTTGACGCTTTCTGGTCGAACAAATAAAATGTTATTGATATTTATAGAAAAAAAAACTAAAAATATTGAAATTTGAAATTGTCCGTAAACAGCTCAAAAAAAGTCAAAATATTTTGAAAATTGTATGTAGTATATAGGAATGGATAAAATGAACATATGATATAAATTTCAAATGTGTCTACTTATTCATTTTTGAATTACAACAAAATAAAAAAATCGGTACATGAGAAATCGAGTGTATTGTTTAGTCGTCCGAAATTTTAACCAGTTCGATTTATGGTGATTTTACGCTTATTTTGGCACATGTTATCGATAAGAAGACGACCATGCCGAAATCCCAAAGGTTTATCAGTTTAGCTACTCAGTGCCGGATTTCAATTTTATTTGTTGTCAATGATAGTGAATCACGCATAGTGAAAGGACATAATTGTTCAAGTAATGCTCCGTTCGCGTTATTTTTTAGGAATTCCATCACTTATAACGCATTTGTCACACCAAATTAAATTATTATAAAAAATTATATCCAAAATATATATTATTGTACCTACCTACGATGATTTTGGTTCGAGTTAAATTGAGTGCGAAATATGTGAACCAGACTTTTTTTTCGTTTCATTAAACATCCGAATTATACAATTCATATTCTAACCACTTCGGTTCCAATGAGTAAGTTTTTCGATTTAAAATAACTACCTACTTACATTCTTTTTTTTTCACAATAAAAATTATAAACTTTATTATTATAAACGGATTTATACAGTAGGAACTACACTTAACTTTTTTACAATATCAGCCAATTTAAAAACTGATTGCATGCCAGCCCTGCAAGTACACTAAACTCTTATCTGCTGCGCCATTTTCATAATGCATAACAATATAATATATATTTGAAGTGATGGAAAATCTTAAGCCATAGCTTTGTATTATTATGACTTAAAATATTAAAATCATTTCTCAAATTTTAGCCGATTGACGATCCGAAATAAATTGAAAAAGACCACAGGTACGAAAACGTGCAATATTCTATAAAACAGTAATATTATAAATGTTTATTTAAACAAGTAAATGTATCATCGATGCAGACAATTCAAAATAATATGTTTTTCAACGTCTTATATACGTTTATATTATAATATATTATTGTTATTTTACCTACCTATAATACAATCTATCCAAATTCATTTCAAATTTTATTGTTATTTGTAATTGAATTGCTATCTCGTGACTTTAAGAATCATGTACCTATAACGACCAAACAATTTCTGGAGCGATTTTGGGGAGGGGGGGGGGGTTGATCCCCAACAATCTTGCCGTATATACGTGCCTCGGTAAAACGTCGACTAATTGTTATATATTATGCCTAATAGTATTTAAACATTATTATATAATAACATTTGACGATTAAAACGTAAACAAAACGTGAGGATAATCAAGTCTATGTCGGAGGGTTTAATCCCTTACTTTGGGATTTGAATCCCCTCCGAAATTATCTGCTAGCATTCAATTATAAGGTGAATAATAAATAACACTAAGCTATTCATGAGCAGACTGCAGTTTAACATAAATAGTCGAATAATTGCTTTTCGCTACTATGATATACCTATATACAGTCTGATCGCATTATATGTATAATGTTAATAATACAATTCACAATATTATTAACGACAAAATCGTTTTTGGGGAGCAAAATATAACAATAATATATTCTATTCTAAATACGCAATGTGTTAAATTTTACGGAATATAATATAAATGTAATATTTTTAAATTAAAAAATAAATAAATACAGAGCTAGCTGCGATGTACCTATAATACTTATATGCCGTATTATAAAAATGTTTTGTAATTAAAACAAAATTGCTTACTCTATACATGGCGGACTAATTTATTTGTTTGAGGTTTTTTTTTTTAATTACTGGGATTCTTACACTCGTGGCAGCCGACATTTTTACTTTTGAAAGTTTCATAAAAAAATAAACCGACGCATCTAAATTGAATTGTCAGTTTCGTGATTTAAAGTAACATCATGAAGTATGCATGAACGCCTTTATTAAAATATTCAGTATCATAATGCATTGTAATTTGGTTTGGGTTAGCAGTTTAAAAAGAAAAACGTGGCCCGGCAAGATTTATTAGTGCTTTCACGTTGTTTTCACCTGATATAAAAATATAATATGTACACCTATATATACGTATATTCTGTAGGCACCGGCTGTGTGTGCGCATAGTTGTGTCGGATGTCTAGATTTTCCCTTGTTTATTTCAATAGTAATGCTTCCTTTGAATAATTTATGTCGGATACAAGTCCACGAGGCACGTATAAAAATTAACCAACTACAGTAACTACCTACATAGTTTCTAAATAAAGTTGTTCGAACAAAACACAAACTAAACAAGTCGAGAATTATTAATTTAAATACTTAGGTTATTTCGTAATTACAAGTTGTGCCTAAAATTATGACGCACTGTGCTCAGATTTGCATTTCAAAGGAAATCCAACATTGTTTCCAAATTAAATATTCCTAATGGCATTCTTCGACATCAACTGCAGTGCCCTTTAGTTTTATTTTTCAACAATATTAATTAATTTACTTGTATTTCTGGATCTTGTACAGGTACTCTGATGAGGACCCCAGTGCAAAACATAATTTTGGGGCCTCATAATATACTATATTATACTTTTACGAAATTTCTGTCATTTTTGATATTCATATCATATATCGGTATAGTCCTCTAAGCCCTTAGATCATAATATTTGATCGAGATCCTGCAGGTGAGTACCTTATATTATGTATAGAACGAAACGAACAGCATTAGTATCGATTTGAGTTGAGATCAAGTTTATAATCGATAAGAACTTTAAATTTTGCGTGGTAGTGTCCACGTCAGGTTCGAGTTTGGTATGTCGAGTGCTGTTGAGTTCGTCTGCAGCGTTTTGGATGCATTCAGTGATTGTGTGGTTGTCTGAGGGTTCTGCAGTTCCACAAGAATCGCGCTTTGGTTTCTCTTTTTTGCCAACAAATACCTGTCCGCGTGTGAGACGGATGTGGCCGATGCGGAGTCTGTTCATAATCACCTTAGCCCCTTAGAGGGATGACTTATTTTAATACCAAACACCATTGCACCTAATACCTATATAAGTACAGTTTAGTGTGAAAGAATAATGCATTACACGCCGCGCAGACGAGGACATAATTACACGTCGAATATATGGAGCGTGCCTGTATATATATATATACGTTAAATGATAAAATATATAGAATAAAGTCTAATTAAGACACTATATATATATATATCCGTTCTGTACACATACCTACGCCTACGTTATGTATACCTACATGTATATAGTATATATTCTATATATTCACGCTCTACAGAAACTCCGGCGCAAATGAGGACCACGCCGAGGTAATAACGCCGGCTAGCGGGGGGGGGGGGGCAGACGAACCCCCGAGGGAATTCCCAGAGGGTGAGTGATGGGTCTGGCGGGGGAGGACGAAGGGTGGCGTACGTCGTAGGCACTTCTCCTCCGTCGAGGCGACGGCTCGTCTACCGCGTGCGCGCCCGCCGGCACGCGTATATACAGAGAGGTCACCGAGGTTTTCCCGGGCGGTGGACACGCAGAAAACCACGGAGAAACGCACCACCCTGTATACGAGCTTGTGATGCGGAGAGCCCTGCACCGACCGGTCGTACGGCGACGGTCCCCCGGGGAATCCCCATCGGTGGTGTAGTGTGCGATGCTATTATACACCGATAGGGGAGGATTCGCACGATGGATCTGTGTTCTCGCCGGGGGGGGAGGTGTGCAGGGTTGTGCGTGAGGGGGTGTGTATAGAGAAGACCGTGCGCGACTGCATCAGAATATATATATGTATAAATGTACCTACCTATATATATATATATATTATATACCACTGCACACCGTATATATACACTCCTCGTTGTGTGTATATATATATAGCGTCAAGTCCGGGAGCTTTTGTACGGGACGAATTGGGTTTTAAAAATTAATCGGTACTCTGAGCGCGGGAGAGTCGACGCCGCTCCTATATTATATTATACGCAACATCCGCTCGCGGGAGATCGAATTTGCATGCCCCTCTCTCCTTTGATAAAACCTAATATGACGTATTATTATTATATTGTTATTATATTATTATAATGACGAACGTTCGCGACGACGGCGGCGCTATGGGGGCGAACGGATTCGGTCAGTTTCGGGTCCCCCTCCCCATGCCGTCGGTCTTATCGGTCGTCATCGCGAGCCGCACGGCCCTTTTGAGCATTTTTTTTTTTACATTTCAAACAGTCCGCCGTCCGTATAAGAGCCGATAATAATATAACGCTGCTGCAGATCGTCTAGCGCACAAACCTATCTGATCGAGCGCGTTCAAACGAATGTCTTTCGAATATCCTCGCAAATAATAATATGCGCAATAAAGGACTAGGGGGGTGCAGGGTCGGACGGCGGCGTTTGAAATCGCCCAATCATCCGACACGCGATAACTGCGAATGCCAACGAAACTCGGCACTGCACGAGTCTTACACACATGTGACACGTTATATTATTATAGACTTGTAGGGTTTTCCTGGAAAATAATATGAAAATCATAATAATATCAAATCGCAAACGAGATAATGGAATAGTTCAGTCCGTCGTGCGTGCATCAGTTTTCCCTCGCACTGGGAAAATGGAAAAACACTGAGGCGGCCCACCCTGCAGTATATACGCACACCATTATATCATATCGTGTTCGCGATTTATAAAACAATATATAGCTAAGTACGTATGCGTGAGATCGTATGCACGGTTAAGTGAATTCGATTGGTAACAAAAAAAAATCAAAATAAAACAAGAAAAGAAATGTAATAACTTGGTTTCGACAGCATTGAGAGAAGTGCACAAAATTTGATTCTATTATATATATATACGTCGTTCGCTAGTCTGTCGGGCCTGGCTTCTCTCATCCAGCTTGTGTCGTATTGCGTTCGGAATAACAAAAAAAAATACACACACACACATATATATATATATATAGACGCGAAACAAAACATACACACACAAAATAAACGTAAGAATAAACCGGCGAAAATAATCGATAAATCTAAGTTTTTACGCCCCGCTCTTGGAATTCGCATTATACGGCGAGGAAAAGCTTTAAAAGAACATTAAAAAAAAAAAAAATTCCGTCCTGTTCAAAATGTTATTTTGCGCGGCACGGTCTGCCGAACACAAGGCGCAACTATTTCTGGTTTTTGCCGCCTTTGGAAGAAAAAATATACTCATATCATGTATATATATATATAATACAATATTATATTATATATCGTGACGAAAATACATCATGCGTTTTATAATATACACATAGTCATTATATTGTTATTATTATTGTATTTAATAATACACGATATACCCTGCAAACACTTCGTTCATTGTTTTTTTTTTGTTTTTTTAATGCGACATTCATCGTTTGCGATTATTGTTTTCGACGATATCTCATATTATTTTTATTATTATATAATTTTTTTTTCGTCCGGTGCTGTGAGCGGCGGTAAATGCCGTTTCGGAGGGGAAAAAAACGGCGAAATATGCGTTTAAAAACGTTTTGTTAAGATCTTGACCTCTAGTGCTGTTGCAGCAAAACGAAACAAAAAAAAAAAACACTGTAGGTCGACGTAATGGTTGTAATAATATAACCGAGCCACTTGTATTGCTAATGAGCCCGTCTTGATAAAACGCTGCTACTTGGGCGAACTCTCACGTCGACATACAGTTGTAAACATATTATATTATTATCTGCAATGGTTGACGTTTTTCACGATTACCGTGAAAAAATTTCGGTTTCTAATAACAATTTCGCACGACCGTTGTAAAATAATACAAGTCAATAATACTGTGTACATTGTTGAGATGTTGCAGATTTCAAACAGTCGTATATTACATAATTATAATTAAAACCGTTGCATGTCTTTAAACAATCCTGCACTTTTATGGTTCCATGTTTTTATCGAGTGCATCATTTAGTATAAAATATATATATATATATATTTTTTTTTTATTTATATTAGACGCAACAACTAAGGTTATTGGCATAATGCACAATGTAAAAAATAACTTATGTGCTAGAGGGAATTATACATATTAAGTACAATGAAAGTAATTTACATAGGTTTAACGTTAAAGTATATAAGTACAACATAAAAAATACAAATATCAGATGAGGACGATGAGGTTATACAATTTAGTAACTTTAAGAAACTTTATGATTTTGATATTACTTTCGTGATCGGGTCCAAGTGAATACCTAAGGCTGTTCTTGTGTCTGCGTAGTTTCGACAGTATACGAGGATATGTTTAACCGTTAGAGCTTCACCATAGGTTGTACATGGGTCTGGATCTTCACGTCTCATGAGGTGACGATGTGTAAGCCAGGTGTGTCCAATTCTTAGTCTATTAATTACAACTTCGTGACGTATTTTTGTAAGGTAAGTTGGCCAAGGGTTAATGGAGAATTTAATTTCATTAAGTTTTGTTTGTGAAGAAGCCCGTATATAATATTATTATAGTCAAATCAATGGTTTTAAGACTATATATTGCAATAATTGTAAATTAAAAAAAAAGGTATACTATTTTCATAGATTAGTTCATTAAGTATTGTACTTTTCCACTTACTTACTACCCGATACCTACTTTTTAGAGGGCGTTGATGCGGTAGATATACGATATAGAATAGTATTACTTCACAAGAAAAATTGCCAGGACTTGGAGAGAATTTTACGGATTTCATAAAATATATCTGAAAGAAGAAGATTTCCTACAGGCAGCACTGAACTCCGATTAATTAATTAATCCATTTCAAATAGTGATATAAAATAATTTGTAAAAAAACGCTTAAAATAGTCTTATAGGTATTTAAAGACATATTATTAGATGTGAGGTTAAAATATTGAAAAACGGAGTTCGATGCGGCTTGTAGAATATTACAATCTATTAGTTAAAAAGTTAAAAATTATCAATTTGGTCGTTTCTACAGAACAGGATCCTTATTCGAGCATTTTTAAGGAACAAAATTACATTGCTCACCAATTTCCAATATAGCTGGGTACCGGTGATCAGTATTAATATATGTTACTCTTTATACAGTTGTAAACATAATATTATATTATATTATCTGCAATGGTTGACATTTTCATGGGTACCGTGAAAAAAAATAGGTTTCTAATAACTATTTACCACCACAGTTGTAAAATAAAACATGTACCTACAGCCCCCCAATAATACTGTGTACATTGTTGAGATGTTGCAGATTTCGAACCGTCGTATATTACATAATTAATTAAAACCGTTGCATGTCTTTAAACAATCCTGCACTTTTATGGCTCCATGTTTTTATCGAGTGAATCATTTAGTATATAATAATATTATAGTCGAATCAATGGTTTTAAGACTATATTGCAATAATTGTAAATTAAAAAAAAAAAGGTATACTATTTTCATAGATTAGTACTTTTAGTAGTATTGTACTTTTCCACAAACTTACTACCCGATACCTACTTTTTAGAGGGCGTTGATGCGGTATACCATATAGAATTGTATTACTTCACAGGAAAAATTCCCAGGACTTGGAGAGAATTGCCGGATTTCGTAAAATATATCTAAAAGAAGAAGATTTCCTACAGGCAGCACTGAACTCCGATTAATTAATTAATTAATCCACTTCAAATAGTGGTATAAAATAATTTGTAAAAAAACGCTTAAAATTGTCTAATATTTAAAGACATATTATTAGATGTGAGATTAAAATATTGAAAAACGGAGTTCGATGGGGCTTGTAGAATATTACAATCTATTAGTTAAAAAGTTAAAAATTATCAATTTGGGCGTTTCTACAGAACAGGATCCTTATTCGAGTATTTTTAAGGAACAAAATTACATTTTCACAATTTCCAATATAGCGGGGTACCGGTGATCAGTATTAATATATGTTACTCTTTATACAGTTGTAAACATATAATATTATATTATCTGCACTGGTTGACATTTTCATGGCTACCGTGAAAAAATTT